AGGCTTTGGTTTCTCTGGGTACAGAGGATGTTACCACCTTTAGCACCACTGTTTTTCACCAAAACTTTATAAGAAATTCTCCAAGTGTCCTGAATAAGTCATCTTTACCCAAGGCCCACGCAGAGATCCTCACTCCTGAGATCCCAAGTGTTGAAGAGCAGGTTGGATGGGGCTTTGAGCAACCTGGTCTAGCTGGAGGAGGAACTGGATGAGCTTTAAAGTCCCTTCCAACCCAAACCATTCCAGGATTCTATGATACATCGGGCGACTAAGGAAGGTCCAGAGTTATCCCGGATGGCAGGGAATGGGAAGGAATCCCAGTGTCAGAGCTGCCCCAGGACAAAAATTCCCCTCCCAGCAAGAAGGGCCAGCAGTGAGGTTTCTCTGCTCAGGTGTCCTGCTTTGAGGCCACCAGTTTCTCCCCCAGTGGGCAAGGAGGCACCAAGAGCTCCATCGTTAGTGCTGCAGCAGCTTCACACCAGGCTCTGGCACAACCACAACCCTTGTCCTTAAAGCTTAACCCAGCGAAACCAGCATTAAAAATAAATATTGGGAAACCCCACTGACAGTTGCGCTTGTCCTTAAAGCTTAACCCAGCGAAACCAATATTAAAAAATAAATATTGGAAAACCCCACTGACAGTTGCAAGAGATCAGAGCTGTTGCCAAATAATATTTCTGTTGTGTAAGGTGGCGTTTAGATCGATATCCACAGGAGCTGCTGGCCCAAACTCACTGATGTTACCCCCCCCCTGCAGCACACAGAGCTGGATTTGTAAGATTTTTGGAAGCAGAGAGTTTAAATTCCAAATGATCAGCAGGCCATTGTGCTAAACCATTAACTTTGGCATTTCCTATCAATGTATTTAAAATAATCGAATGAAGAGTAACCCCAGTAAAACATCTAAGGGTGGAAATCAGCAGGCTCTCAAGGATTCCTCACAGATGTATTTGTAAAATGCCCCTGCCCACGGGGTGCTTCCCTCCCACCACGGTATCCCAGAAAGCTCCAAATGCCATGACACAAAATGCAGGAGTATCCAAGGGAAGGCAGGACTCGAGTCGGCTGTTGGTGGAGAAGCCGTTACGCCGATTGTGTCTCTCCATCCAGGCAAACCTAACCCACAGGTACTGACTGTGATACGGGTTTCTGTCCTCCAAGAAGGTGGACAGAGAAGACGTTTGTCCACCACGGAGGTGTGACACTCTCCAGGACTCAAGCTCTTTAAAATAACAGCAGACCGAGCAAGCAAATTTAGTAACCTTGATGACTTGGCTCATCATCTTGGACACCTCTGTCAGAGATGATGAGCCTGGATCCCTCAGGCATCTTGACGAGCGGCCATGCTTTTCTGGGAAGTTCTTATAAATGCCCTCTTGTGGGTATGGAAACACTGACATCACTGTTCTGGTTTGTCAAAGGGTTGTTATACACTTCGGGGATTTGCCTGAAAAAAACTTCATATTCCTCTAAAATACAGTTCTTTGTCAGTCGGGGTGGAGTGGGGGACCCTCGGGATTTGCCATCTCACTCCCTTCTGCTACACTAAATCAGAGGACTCTCTGGAGGTGTGGAAATGTGCACAGCTCAATGCAGCTCTCAAAAAGGAGCAGCAAGAGGAGCTGTTTCTGGAAGGTGGGACCTCATCGAAGCACAGCTGAAAGAGGGGAAAGGACTCCAATTAAGCGTGGCTGTAATTAGTGGATTGTGGAACAATCCTGCTCCAGCTCTGGGCTGGGTTTGTTGGAGGGGATGAATGAAGGAGACCCCAGGGGCTGCCCAGAACTGCTGTATGGCCCAGCCAGCACTGGGGATGATGTCCCCTGGGTGCTGCAGGAGGGGAGAGCCCAGCGTGGGCACCAGCATCTCCCACCAAGGCCATTTCACAGAAAGGCTTTGGTTTCTCTGGGTACAGAGGATGTTACCACCTTTAGCACCACTGTTTTTCACCAAAACTTTATAAGAAATTCTCCAAGTGTCCTGAATAAGTCATCTTTACCCAAGGCCCACGCAGAGATCCTCACTCCCGAGATCCCAAGTGTTGAAGAGCAGGTTGGATGGGGCTTTGAGCAACCTGGTCTAGCGGGAGGAGGAACTGGATGAGCTTTAAAGTCCCTTCCAACCCAAACCATTCCAGGATTCTATGATACATCGGGCGACTAAGGAAGGTCCAGAGTTATCCCGGATGGCAGGGAATGGGAAGGAATCCCAGTGTCAGAGCTGCCCCAGGACAAAAATTCCCCTCCCAGCAAGAAGGGCCAGCAGTGAGGCTTCTCTGCTCAGGTGTCCTGCTTTGAGGCCACCAGTTTCTCCCCCAGTGGGCAAGGAGGCACCAAAAGCTCCATCGTTAGTGCTGCAGCAGCTTCACACCAGGCTCTGGCACAACCACAAGCCTTGTCCTTAAAGCTTAACCCAGCGAAACCAATATTAAAAAATAAATATTGGAAAACCCCACTGACAGTTGCAAGAGATCAGAGCTGTTGCCAAATAATATTTCTGTTGTGTAAGGTGGCGTTTAGATCGATATCCACAGGAGCTGCTGGCCCAAACTCACTGATGTTACCCCCCCCCTGCAGCACACAGAGCTGGATTTGTAAGATTTTTGGAAGCAGAGAGTTTAAATTCCAAATGATCAGCAGGCCATTGTGCTAAACCATTAACTTTGGCATTTCCTATCAATGTATTTAAAATAATCGAATGAAGAGTAACCCCAGTAAAACATCTAAGGGTGGAAATCAGCAGGCTCTCAAGGATTCCTCACAGATGTATTTGTAAAATGCCCCTGCCCACGGGGTGCTTCCCTCCCACCACGGTATCCCAGAAAGCTCCAAATGCCATGACACAAAATGCAGGAGTATCCAAGGGAAGGCAGGACTCGAGTCAGCTGTTGGTGGAGAAGCCGTTACGCCGATTGTGTCTCTCCATCCAGGCAAACCTAACCCACAGGTACTGACTGTGATACGGGTTTCTGTCCTCCAAGAAGGTGGACAGAGAAGACGTTTGTCCACCACGGAGGTGTGACACTCTCCAGGACTCAAGCTCTTTAAAATAACAGCAGACCGAGCAAGCAAATTTAGTAACCTCGGTGACTTGGCTCATCATCTTGGACACCTCCGTCAGAGATGATGAGCCTGGATCCCTCAGGCATCTTGATGAGCGGCCAAGACCAGCCAGGAAAACTTCAGCCTCTGAGACCAACAGCTCCTGAACTCCTCACCTCCATGGTGGGCTCAACTGCATGGACATGGTGGTTCCACTGCCATCTGGTCAAGTCAAAGCCAACCTCTGTTGGATTAAGTCTATTTGAGGCTGCTTGCAATGAATATTTACGTTTCAAATTACAATCTGATGGTCTTGTTTTGGGATCCTTGTGAAACGTCAAAGTCTGAAATGGGGGGAGCTATGAACAGCCATCAACACTGAGGTGAGATCTCTCCAGCCATCCCAACATCAAAAGTTAGGCCGACGTGGCAGAGCAAGATGGGAGAAACACAAAAAGAACCTTCAAATTGTCTTTTTTCAAAGTTTTCTAGGCTGGTTGGGAGCCGCTTTGAGGACAAACTGCTGGCAGTATCAACCCCTCAGCACCTGTGAAGCTGTTAGTTTTGCAGAGGAACATGCACTACCCGGGTTCAGTTTGGGTGGATACACACCTAGACCAGTCCCAAGGCATGCTCTGTAAGCAGTTAGTAAGTGCTAATTAAGTGGTTAACATCAAAAGCTAGTTTCCTCTAGGTATGCACTAATTTAAGACAGTTTTCATCTGCTATGGAAGTGATCCAAGCCATTCTCAACGTAGGAACATTATCTATTTATGAAGATTTTTTTATTATTTTTTTTTTACTGAAATGGAAAATGAGGAAGGAACCGTGAAGTTGGTTTTTCCTGAACTTCCCAGGCAGGTCAGCACCTCCTATTTTCACCCCAAAAGGCAAACAGCCGTGCTGTGTCATTCCCAACCCCTCGTGCAGCTCGACAATGACCAGCCCTCGCTGCACGGGCAACGCAGGACAGTCTCTCCCAGGCTCAAGGGCTCATCCAGCCCAGGAAGACAACAAGGATTTGGTGCTTCCCATCCCAATCCCACCTTTTTTCCCCTCTCCAGCACCTGCTCCATCACTCGGAGGCGTGAGGTTCCTACAGCACCACGGCACACCAGGATTTTCCTGGCTGGGTTTTCTTGATGAATAAACACGGGAGTGAGCGGCTCGGTGGCACGTTAAAGCCTGTTTCTCTGTGTGATTCTTTCAAATACTCCCTTTAGCCTCAAACTGCCCCTTTTCCCCGTGTTTCAGAGAGGAAGCTATGCAGGAGAAGCTCAAAGATGAAAGAGTTACTACTTTTTTTTGTGTGTACCAAGCACAGCGTAACTAGTTAGCACTCCCAAACCTGATAATAAATACCTCATCTAAACGTAGAGAATGTAACTCAGTGGCTATTACAATTAGATATAGTTCTCAGAGCATTCCTTAAACACAAATTCAGTTACAGACCAAAGTAAGAGCCCTTTTAACACTGAAAACACATATTTCTGAAGCATCTCTGTGGTTCCAGTCCCTTTAAGTGCAATGTGTCCTTACAGAACCTGCCCGGTGTCCGTTCCAGGTGCCACACGGTAGAGGGAGGGCCATCGGGGGTCAGAGTGTCCTCAGTTCCCCACCCTGTGGCTCCTCGGGGCTGGCTGCGGGGTGACTACAGCGGGAGAGAGACAAGGAACACTCCTCCCACCTCGAGTCACAACAGCTTTCAAGATAGTGCAGTAACTGCCCTCCCACCCCACAGTCTGAGAGGGGGAAATCCAGCCTTGGAGGGGGCTTTGCCCCAGCACTTGGACCCTTCCGCTGGGTTTAACGTTGGGAGAGGGAGCAGATGAGAAAGCAGATCCCTCCTGACACAGCCCCGCTCTGTTCTGCTGCCACAAGTCCCCTTTGCCTGGTTATTTCCCCCTCTCTCTCTCTCTCTTTCTCTCTCCTCTCACAAGCGGCTTTGAGCACACTTACCGTCTGGGACTTCATCCGGCCTCTTCCTTTTCTCATAAACAACTATGATGACAACGAGGATAACGATTTCTGCCAGGATCCCCAAAAAGGGCCAGAGGGGAGCCAAGTGGCTGCGGACACGCAGGATGGTGGTGACCGAGACGGAGCCGACCTGGTTGGTGGCGTTGCACATGTACTCGCCGGGATCCTCGTTGATCTGGAGGTTTGTGATGCTCAGCTCGGTGTAGTTGTCTTTGTTTGAAATGAAGAATCTCCCGGAGGAGTTGTTGATGTCCTGATAAAAGGAGGAAAAAGGCGGAAAGAGGAGAAGAGCAAGAGGCTTTAGTGAGCTCTTGGTGCCTTTTCGGTGCCATGGAAACTGGAAGAGGGATTCCTGCAGAGAGGCTGGTTGGTTAACACGAGGGAAGAGCCCACCAGAGCATTTATTCTGTCTCTCTCACTAAGTGAGCTCCCAAGCACTGAAGTGCTTCAAAACACCACCAAAAAAACGCCAGTTTAACAGACAACCTGCATTTTCACCCTACTTGAACAGCAACAGCCACAAAACACCAGTGCCGGTGACCGTGTGAGCGATGTGTCCTCAGCCTTCTCCTGCAGGAGAAACCCTGACACCCCCTCACCGTTCACAGCAAGGAGCTGGGGGAGATGAGAGAAGTAATGGGAGAGAGGATACACTCCCTACCAGGGGCCAAAATTTCAATAGAGAAGGGAAAAATACAAAGTAGCACTAGATTATTCTATTATTATTATTATTCTCTAAGGTCTCAGGAGGTGATTCTGCCCCTCTGCTCTGCGCTCATGAGACCCCACCTGGAGCACTGTGTCCAGCTTTGGAGTCCTCAACACAGAAAGGACATGGACCGGCTGGAACAGGTGCAGCGGAGGACCATGAAGATGATCAGAGGGATGGATGGAGCACCTCTGCTATGGAG